TATCTCCCCTATTGTCAGATCACTCTGCCACTGGCCAGAGACAAAAACTAGATCCAGTGTGTGTCCGCCCGTGTGAGTGGGGGTCTGAATTAACTGGGACAAGTCCAAGGCCGTCATGGAAGCCAAGAACTCCTGAGCTGCCGCCGACGTCTCGCCCGCTGATGGGAGGTTGAAATCCCCCAAGACCATAAGTCTGGGGTTCCAACCGCCACCCCGGCTATCACGTCAGCCAGCTCAGGCAGGGCCGTTGATACATAGCAGGGGCCGTTGATACATAGCAGGGATGGTAGGAAGGCTCCTTTTACTCAGTCCATATTTCAATGGACCATGTGTGCATGTGACTATGTGTTTATTAGGTTGAATCAATCCACTTCAGGATGAAGGCCTCTTCATTGAAGGTTATGGACCATAATATAACACGGTGGTCCTGTAAGAGTTGTACTCAATCTAAAGTTGAGAAAGAGAGTGACTGGCCCAAATTCTCCCACTCAACTTCCATGCTAAGGGAGAACTACATCCTGATCTCCCCATTCCTTAACTCTACACCACACTGCTGTGTATGTTTGTCTGTTTGTGCATGTGTCTGCCTCTATCTGTCTAGTACTAATATTTAGATCCTTCGTGATTTTGATTTGTCTCTGACTAGGTAACTTCAGTCAATCACTTTCTGCTCAAGCACATCCTGTTGCAAAGACTCAGACATATAGGCCACTGACAAAAAGTACTTCTGACAATGGCACTGAAGCCTTTAAGGTCTCTTCACCTCTACCACCTCCAGTACCACCTGTTCGTCCTTGGCAAAGATCTGCCCCAGAAAAGTAAGCTATATATTACTTTATAGTAATTAATCCAGAAGTGGCAAATTTGATACTAGTGTGAGAGCCATTATTTCAGTGTTTGGTTTTGTATTCAGAGATACAGCATGGCTTTTCATGGAAGCATCTGATTGGCTGGCTGGCTGGCTGGCTGACTTTTTTATGTATTGCTAATTTCTAGTGCAATCATGGTGCTGTATAATTAACAATAATAAAGATAATAATATAAAAAAACTGTAAAACAGAAATAATTTTATTTAAGACCACATACCTATATTATGAATTGTTATTACAACATGTATAGATATATTGATTATATGTCTTAAATGAATGCCCTTCTGAACAACACTGTTTTAAAGAGTTTTCTAAAAGTCAGGAGTAGTGAGCCATCAGGATTTCAGATTGGCAGCTTATTCCACTGATGAAATATAACACATGGGGGAAGAACCTTCAGCATCCCTACCCAAGACTAGCAAACTGGACTATGGAATCTGCTTAAAATAAGTAATCCTATATATATCCAGTAGCTAAGTCATCGAGAATTTTTAAGGTCAATACCAGTACTTTGAATTGTCCTCAGAAGCCTATTGGTAGTCAATGGAGAGACCTCAGTTCAGTGTTATGTATATATGTGATGGCTCTTGTATCATTCACCAATATTACAAATACTATTATCACACCATGCCCCAAATCCTCACAATAGCCTATAGACATGTTTGGTCAATTCTTATCTCAAAGAAAGGAGCAGTTCTTCCTAAACAAGATTGTTAGGCATTGTGTGCCAAAGCATGGCAAAAAAAGAGCCCTTTGCCATCTTTATCACTATGTCATATTCACTTCTGACCTTTGACTATTAATGCTCTAGTTTAGATATTTCTTCTGCTACTTCATTTCCCAGAGCAACTCAGGATTTATGATAAGAGGTTACTTGGGAATAATTGGCCTAGCATCCTTGTCATCTTTATATTCCAGAGCTAAACTAAGGATTCAAGGAAATCCCCATCACCTGCTGGAATCCATTTGGATCCAGAAGAACCAGAGCACATAAATTTAATGGGCCTTTCCACCTGCAGGATCATAGAATGATCTGACTGCAGCAAAAAAATTATGAACTATGTCTTCCATTCATGATGCAATTAAATCATGATACAACTTCTATAAAGTGAAGGGTAATTGTAATGGGTGACTACCTATGTTCATTGAGCCACAGATCACTCAGGACACCCCCATGATTGCCATGGAGGTCAGGAAGGCCAGGAACTCCTGAACTCTATTCAGAGCCAAACATAATACAAAGAAATTGAAACCCCCTTATTCTATATGTTGGGGAGGTATCAGGGGTATTTTAGGAGCCCGGCAAGGGTTTATGTCAAGCAGCATGTGGATGGTATGCAGACTAAACCCTCAGCTTATCTTTACAGCCCAATTTTACAAACAAATAATCATTGCCTAATACCACATGTGCAGAACCCCTAGCTACCAGCAAACTTTATTCATCACCACTTCATCTCACTCCTTTATTATCATAGACAGAGATGGACTCCAACCTATGTAGACAAATATTACTCATTCAGCTTTCAGTATTTATTTAGTAAAAATAGTCACTTTTTGCCTTTTGATTTTTAAATATAACATTATTACTTATGTTGATATGGAATGTAATTTTCTGTGTGGTAATTTAGAAATTCCATTCAAAATCAGGAGATTCTCTATTGTGATGGACATTTTTGTTCTAGTTTTATTTAAAATATCCATTATTTTTTTCTTAGAAAACTTTGTGTTACATGTGTTGGATATTAGATCATTTGTCAATTTATTTTTATTTTTAGAAATGAGTGGGAGCCTCCTGATAGAAAAGTAGATACCCGCAAATTCCGTTCAGAACCAAGAAGCATTTTTGAATATGAGCCAGGAAAGTCTTCAATCCTTGAACATGAAAGACCAGTGAGTAAAGTTTATCCATTTTTATATATAATAAATAATTCAGTAAAACATTTATTCTTTAAATCTGACATGCTTTTGTTAAGTATAATAAGATGCTTTTAAGAATTACAAGCTGAGCATTTTGTTCAAGAGACTTCTTCCAGGAGCATGATAACTATGAGCCTGCAGTGTATGTGCTTTGACTCGTGGTTGCCTTGATCTCTTGCAGCTCCATGCAACTGAAAGATCTCATTTGCCTTTGAGGCATTTTCTCATATCCAGGGCAAGAGAATGCCCTAAAGACTTATCCATACAACTTGTTGTTGAGTACCTGTTTTGCTCCTTCTGCCAAGTTGTCCATTAGTTTTCACAGGGGTCTTTTAGCATCCATAATAGCAGAGCCATTAAAGAAGGTCCCAGGAAGATGGTGGGTACCTGGTCTTGACTCAGGGATCACCAATAATAAGTAATAAATTACCTGCATCCGAAAAATAAATTCCTAATACTAGGTTCCTTTCTTAGAGAGAATGTTTAACTGAAAGTTTAACATAGAACAAAGAGGCAAAATTATTTTCCTTGGGTTAATACAGTATTTTTATTTTGGGGATTGGGGATTCAATGAAAATAAACATACACATTTATTTTGTTGCATAGATTATAGTACTTACAAGCTTCTAGACCCAATGTGCAAATGAGTAGATTTTTTCACTATCCTTGTAATTTCATCAGCATATATAGCAGTAACATGAGAGTTGTTACACATGTGAATAAAATCTTTGTTCCAAAATCCACAAATATGATTTTGTTATTACTGGTATTTTACATATAATAGCACAGTGCAAACTAACAGATAACTAAAATTCTTCATTGGGATTTTTGAAAACTAAGAATTAAATTAATGAAAAGCATGTTTAATGAGGCTGCAATCTTACATCTCAATACTTATTGCTAACCATTCCAGTAACCTAAAGAGTATCTTTCACTATGTCTGCTCACAAGTAGTTAATTCATGGAGTAACTACTGTATGTTTATAGAAATATACATGCAGGCTGTTTGCATTGTGATTGCCACATCTTGATCTAAACAAACTGATTATAATTCAATCAGTATGGTTTATGCTGCTTAACATGAAAGCAACAATAATAGAATAGAATTAGAATTAGAATTAGAATAGAATAGAATAGAATAGAATAGAATAGAATAGAATAGAATAGAATAGAATAGAATAGAACTGGAGGTCTTCTAGTCCAGCTCCCTGCTCAGGCAGGAGAACCTATGTCATCTCAGACAAGTGACTGTCTAGCCTCTTTTTAAAAATCTCCAGTGATGGAGCGCCCACAATTTCTGGGGGCAAGCTATTCCACTGGTTAATTGCCCTCACTATCAGGAAATTTCTCCTTAATTCCAGGTTGCTTCTCTCTTTGATCAGTTTCCAACCATTGTTTTTTGTCCTGCCCTCTGGTGCTTTGGTGAATAACGTGATCCCCTCTTTGTGGCAGCCCCTCAAATTGTTCCCAAATATTTTAATTGTAAAGTTAAATATATAGCATTTTGGAATTGCTTACTTTTAAACATGGTAAATATTATTCAGAAACCTTAGGTTTCTGGTTGTCTTGGTTGGTTTATATGCTAAATGTTGAAATGGATTATTAGTGTTATTATTATCTTATGATGTTACATTGTGATAGTAATATTTGAAGTTGTATTTTGTCATATTACATATGCCATAAATTAGAATAGCCTTCCCTAACTTCGTATTCTTCAGATGCTAGATGACAATTCCTAACACAAATGGAGAGTGTTAGATCAGGAAAGACTATAGTTTATACACCGGCAACCTTCCTTTTCTTAAGATATATTGTATCTATAATATGGGTTCTATAAAAGTGGAGAACTTTTCATTTGTGCCATGATGAAATTATACTTGGGATATGTATTGTTAATAGAAGAGGATATATGTAGCTCAGAGTTGAAATTTCGGAATCTTGATGTTCTCTGAGTTAGGTTGTTTCCTCAGAGACATTTTTCCCCAAGCTAGATTATCGGTGAAAGGTAGAGTGGGGTACTGGAAAACAGCACCAGTTAAACAATCAGAGAAAGGAAACAATATCATAATCAAAGAACCGTCAAGGAATATCACCACTGATTGATGATGCAAGCTACTATATATATAAATAGCTAGCAAACTGAATATCTCTTGGTCTGATGATGCTACCTAGCCTGGTAATGAAACATCCGCAAGAAAACAACCAAGTTCAGAGAACACCAAGAACTTTATATTGATATTACCCAATGATCCTCCTCATCATCATCATTGGCTAATTGTAAGAGACCAGCATACATAACAAATACAGATGGCCAAAGTAATGAATCAAGACTTATTCATAGAGAAATGTGTGAATATTAAGGAAAATACTTATCCCAGCTTTTAGAATTGTTCACTTGGGGGAATACTCAATAGAATCCAGAAAAATTTTGAATAACATACTAGGGACTGTTCTTTTTGTCCTTCCAGGAAAGTACATCGGTAGACAAAGCACTGCCCTCAGAAGTAAGACAGGGCAGTGTTGCTACCCACCCACCCACTAGTATAGTGAGCAATGATTGAGGAATTCTATGCCATCCTTCCATTCCATATCATCTAATATCAGGAAAATGGCCTGCCTATCATTATCCTGAGTGTGTGGCCCTGGAGCTGGAAGAGTCAAATGTTCCCTTTCCCTTTATCCTCAATCACCTGGAATATTTTCAGGGATATTGGGAAGGTTTGCTTGGGTTTGATAGATGAGGCTTGGCATTCCCTATCTTTCTTTGTTTAATTCTAGGGAATTATTAGTGTCTTGTTCTTCTGAAAAAGAAGAGGAGACAGAGAGATGGAGGGAGAGAAAGAGATGCAAATACACAGATATGCACAGATGCAAATCACTCAGGCACACTTATTCAAGACTGAGATTCTGAATCCAGTACTTCTTTGAGTTTAGCAAATCACAAGTTTTGTGCAAGAATGGGAATATTCCCTCATGCCATCAATCTGCTGAACACCTAATTACCACAGTACTGTCTTATGTCTAAGGATATTTACCCATGTAGTATGGCTGTATTACTATTAACCTTCTCATCTTTTCTACTACCCTCTCCTATTAGTAACTTATGATTATACTATACTATTATACTATTTTTGTTTGAATGTACCCTGAGAGTTTATGCACCAGAGACAAATTCCTTGTATGTCCAATCACACTTGGCCAATTCTATTCTGTTCTGGTCTATATTGACTTTCTGGAACACATGCTACATGAAATCAGGATTCCCATATCTGAACATACATACCTACACACACACACACACACACACACACACACACACACACACACACCAGAAAGAAAGAAATAGCTATACAAAGAGAGGCCTCCAGCTTTTGCCAGCCACAACACAATATGCATAGAACTTAATCTTATAGCCAGTGCTTTTTTTGTTTAAAAAAAAAAAGTGCCAGAACTCACACACATCATACAACCCACCTTGCCTACCCTAGAAGGTTTATCTTTGTAGTTGAAAAAAAACCCCTTCAATTTTTAGTGTATCTAAAAGACTAGGATTTTGTTCAAGGCAACTCTGGAAAATCCATCAAAAAAAGGTGCCGGAACTCTGCTCTGGTGCGTTCTATGACAAAAAAAAAAGCCCTGCTTATAGCTGACCTGCTGAGCCACTGAAACTCAGCAAACTGCAAACTTCCAAAGTTTCCTGTGTATTCTGGATTGCCCATGAGGGAGATATGCTGGTATAGGGTGCCAGAAAACCTTGACTCAGTAATAGCCTAGCCACAAAAATGGAGAATCGCTTGGCAAATGGATAGTGGGGTGTCTCCGTTTGTGTAAATGAGGTTTATAAAGACAAAGGATTACTGTTGACGACCACTTTTCTATATCATGATTTATTGCATTAATTCTCTATTATGTAGTTCATCCTATATAATGTTTAGAGAATATTAAGCACCTTCACGCCTCTTGTGATATTTAAACTAATGGTGGCAAAAGATCATGTCTAAGTGAGGGTATCATGTCATAGTTCAAATAATATTCAATTCCATGCAATTACAATTACATTTTCTACTTTTTAATATTGAATAAGATGTACTCATTCAGTAAAATTACTTAAGTTCATCTCAGCATTAACTTTCTTTGGGTTAGTTCACATGAGCATTTGAGAAACCAAACTTCATATCCAAAGCCAGCTAATCAAATGTTGGATGAGATGAGATTTTGGCATAGGTAATACAACTTTTCTTGGATTTAAATTCACAAACATTTGCATCAATTTACATTTCAGTGACCTCTGCTTGTGCCTCTATTAATCTTTAGAATCTGGGCTTTGTTTCAGTGGTAGAATCCAAACCAACTGAACTAAGCAGTTATTTTAATGATGTACAGGCTTTCCTGGGCTTAGAAATTTGGGGATTTGTTGCCCAGGATTATATTTATTGGAGTAGGAAGAGGGTTATTGTTGGCATTTCTGTGGTAGAATTTGTATAATATGATATAAGCCTTTTAAAAATGTTTTCAACTGCAAATAGTTCCCAGATGGAGAATAAACAGAATCAGATAATCAGTTGGGATTTCGTTCATTTTAAGAAACATTTTATGGTTATTTAGATTCAGTAAATATCACTTCCAGCAAGCAAAGTGAAGTATAACCTTATGTCCTATTGGAAGTTAATATTATACTTAGTACTTATCCTGCTAATATCAATCCTGGCAATCTGACTCAAAATTACATGGGGAATTGCACAAACACTTATTCGTTTTTCATGAAAAGCATCAAGAGGTTGTGAACTTAATCAGAAGAATAACAAAACATGCTAGCCAGATGTAAAACTGTTTTCCCTCTGGCTATCATTCCAGCCAAAATATTCTCCCATCACTTTTCTAAATTAGAGGTAAGATATATATCCTCTAACTAATTTAACCTTCAACCAGGGATTCTTTCCGTTTTACTCAAATTAAGCTTGGGAGTACAGTTA